AGAATCACTTGATTATGAATCACTTGGTACTTGCGAACCGTGCCTCATGGGCAAGATGACTAAAACACCGTTCTCCGGTACTATGGAGAGAGCAACAGATTTGTTGGAAATCATACATACAGATGTATGTGGTCCAATGAATGTTGAGGCTCGTGGCGGATATCGTTATTTTCTCACCTTCACAGATGATTTGAGAAGATATGGGTATATCTACTTAATGAAGCACAAGTCTGAAACGTTTGAAAAGTTCAAGGAATTTCAGAGTGAAGTGGAAAATCATCGTAACAAGAAAATAAAATTTCTACGATCTGATCATGGAGGAGAATATTTGAGTTACGAGTTTGGTTTACATTTGAAACAATGCGGAATAGTTTCGCAACTCACACCACCTGGAACACCACAAAGAAATGGTGTGTCCAAACGTCGTAATCGTACTTTACTTGATATGGTGCGATCTATGATGTCTCTTACCGATTTACCGCTATCGTTTTGGGGTTATGCTTTAGAGACGGTCGCATTCACGTTAAATAGGGCACCATCAAAATCCGTTGAGACGACGCCTTATGAACTGTGGTTTGGCAAGAAACCAAAGTGGTCGTTTCTTAAAGTTTGGGGCTGCGATGCTTATGTGAAGAAACTTCAACCAGATAAGCTCGAACCCAAATCGGAGAAATGTGTCTTCATAGGATACCCAAAAGAGACTGTTGGGTACACCTTCTATCACAGATCCGAAGGCAAGACATTCGTTGCTAAGAATGGATCCTTTCTAGAGAAGGAATTTCTCTCGAAAGAAGTGAGTGGGAGGAAAGTAGAACTTGATGAGATAACTGTATCTACTCCCTTATTGGAAAGTAGTTCATCACAAGAACCGGTTCCTGTGACAACTACACCAATTAGTGAGGAAGCTAATGATATTGATCATGAAACTTCAGATCAAGTTTCTACTGAACCTCGTAAGTCTACCAGAGTAAGATCCGCACCAGAGTGGTACGGTAATCCTATTCTGGAAGTCATGTTACTTGACCATGATGAACCTACGAACTATGAGGAAGCGATGATGAGCCCAGATTCCGCAAAATAGCTAGAGGCCATGAAATCTGAGATGGGATCCATGTATGAAAACAAAGTATGGACTTTGGTTGACTTGCCCGATGATCGGCAAGCCATTGAGAATAAATGGATCTTTAAGAAGAAGACTGACGCTGATGGTAATGTAACTGTCTATAAAGCTCGACTTGTTGCAAAAGGTTTTCGACAAGTTCAAGGGGTTGACTACGATGAGACTTACTCACCCGTAGCAATGCTTAAGTCTGTCCGAATCATGTTAGCTATTGCTGCATTTCATGATTATGAAATTTGGCAAATGGATGTCAAGACTGCATTCTTGAATGGATTTCTAGAAGAAGAGTTGTATATGATGCAGCCGGAAGGTTTTGTTGATCCAACAGGTGCTAACAAAGTGTGCAAGCTCCAGCGTTCCACTTATGGACTGGTGCAAGCATCTCGGAGTTGGAATAAATGCTTTGATAGTGTGATCAAAGCATATGGTTTTATACAGACTTTTGGAGAAGCCTATATTTACAAGAAAGTGAGTGGGAGCTCTGTAGCATTTATAGTTTTATATGTAGATGACATATTATTAATTGGAAATGATATAGAACTTCTGGATAGCATAAAGGGATACTTGAATAAAAGTTTTTCAATGAAAGACCTCGGTGAAGCTGCTTACATATTGGGCATCAAGATCTATAGAGATAGATCAAGACGCTTAATAGGACTTTCACAAAGCACATACCTTGACAATTTTGAAAAAGTTCAAAATGGATCAGGAAAAGAAAGGATTCTTGCATGTGCTACAAGGTGTGAAGTTGAGTCAAACTCAATGCCCGACCACAGCAGAAGATAGAGAGAAAATGAAAAATGGTCCCTATGCTTCAGCCATAGGCTCTATCATGTATGCAATGTTGTGTACCAGACCTGACGTATGCTTAGCAATAAGCTTGGCAGGAAGGTACCAAAGTAATCCAGGAGTGGATCACTGGACAGCGGTCAAGAACATCCTGAAATACCTGAAAAGTACTAAGGATATGTTTCTCGTATATGGAGGTGACAAAGAGCTAGTCGTAAATGGTTACGTCGATGCAAGCTTTGACACTGATCCGGACGATACTAAATCACAAACCGGATACGTGTTTATATTAAACGGTGGAGTTGTAAGTTGGTGCGGTTCTAAACAAAGCGTCGTAGCGGGATCTACATGTGAAGCGGAGTACATAGCTGCTTCTGAAGCAGCAAATGAAGGAGTCTGGATGAAGGAGTTCATTTCCGATCTAGGTGTCATACCTAGTGCATCGGGACCAATGAAGATCTTCTGTGACAATACTGGTGCAATTGCCTTGGCAAAGGAATCCAGATTTCACAAGAGGACCAAGTACATCAAGAGACGCTTCAATTCCATTCGGGACCAAGTCCAAGTGGGAGACACAGAGATTTGCAAGATACATACGGATCTGAATGTTGCAGACCCGTTGACTAAGCCTCTCTCACGAGCAAAACATGATCAGCACCAAGACTCCATGGGTGTTAGAATCATTACTATGTAATCTAGATTATTGACTCTAGTGCAAGTGGGAGACTGAAGGAAATATGCCCTAGAGGCAATAATAAAGTTATTATTTATTTCCTCATATCATGATAAATGTTTATTATTCATGCTAGAATTGTATTAACCGGAAACATGATACATGTGTGAATACATAGACAAAATTATGGTCACTAGTATGCCTCTACTTGACTAGCTCATTAATCAAAGATGGTTATGTTTCCTAACCAATGACATGTGTTGTCATTTGATTAGTGGGATCACATCATTAGGAGAATGATGTGATTGACATGACCCATTCCGTTAGCCTAGCACTTGATCGTTTAGTATACTGCTATTGCTTTCTTCATGACTTATACAAAGTTCCTGCAACTATGAGATTGTGCAACTCCCGTTTACCGGAAGAACACTTTGTGTGCTACCAAACGTCACAACATAACTGGGTGATTATAAAGGTGCTCTACATGTGTTTCCGAAGGTACATGTTGGGTTGGCATAATTCGAGATTAGGTTTTGTCACTCCGATTGTCGGAGAGGTATCTCTGGGCCCTCTCGGTAATACTCATCACCTAAGCCTTGCAAGCATTGTAACTAATGAGTTAGTTATGAGATGATGTATTACGATGACAGTTACGATGACAGTTTTATTATGAGTTTATAAGTTTTGATGTACCGAAGTCTGTTCGGAGTCCCGGATGTGATCACGGACATGACGAGGAGTCTCGAAATGGTCGAGACATAAAGATTGATATATTGGAAGCCTATATTTGGACATCGAAATCGTTCCGGGTGAAATCGCCATTTTACCGGAGTACCGGGAGGTTACCGGAACCCCCCGGGGGGTTATTGGGCCTACATGGGCCACGAGGGAGAAGAGGGAAGGAGCCAGGAGGGGGCCGCGCGCCCCTCTCCCTCCTAGTCCGAATAGGACAAGGGAAGGGGGGCGGCGCCCCCCCCCCTTTTCCTTCCCCTCTTCCTCCTCTTTCCCCCCTTCTCCTACTCCTACTTGGAAAGAAGGGAGTCCTACTCCCGATGGGAGTAGGACTCCCCCCTTGGCGCATCATAAAAAAATCATGTAGAAACCTTGTCAAGTTCCCTTACGTTGATCCGAAGGAAACATTTAGTATTTGTAGACTGTACCAAAGTTTTAAGCTCTCTAAAATCAATTGGCAAGCTAGGGGGTGACACGTGAGATTGCAAAGCATAGTTTTGATAACAGGTTGGATGGTGTGTTTCTGAGAAGTTTTCTGCTCTGCGTGGCATATGCAAGTAGTCTACCGACATGAATGTAAAATTTACTTCTAGTGTTCTTTGTACCACATTTATAATTGATGAATAGATCTCGGAAAAAGAAAGAGGAACGACTATAACAACTAATAACCGTTTAAGTAATTAATATACGTGGTATTGAAAAATGAATTTCTGGAAGGGACGATACCGTTGTGGGCAAATATAGATGGCAAATATACCCGGGTGAGCCCATCAACGTTTCCTTTCTGTGTTTCTATAACTTTTCCTTTTTTTTTCCTTTTTTTTTCTTTCCAGTTTTCTTTTATTTCATTTTCTTCCCTTTTCTTTCGTTTGGACTCTAAACCATTTATTATATTGACATATACCCACATGTTTCTAAACATTTTTCGGAATCTATGAACTTTATGCAAGGGATACATAAACTTTTAAATACAGGAATTTAGTTTTCTCGATAATGGAACTTTTAAATAAGCAATAATTTATTTATTTCACACATGTCAACATATATGTACATTGTGGACACTTTTTATGAATATATGAAAAAAATTATAAAATTATATTGACCTTTTTTAATACAAAATTTTATTTATTTTACACAGGGACATTTTTTAATACATGATGAATATTTTATTTCCACGTATGAACATATATATCTACATGCATGATCATTTTTTTGCCCCTTTTAACTATTTATTTAGAACTGATTTCGGACAACTAAAAAACTAAATTCTGGCAATACTCTTCAGACATATACGAAATAAAATATTTTTCCGAAAAAAAAATGAATTTAGTAGGCCGTGCTCTTGCCAACCCATGTAAGGGTCCTATGCGTGTTTTCCTGGTTGGGCCGAGGCAGCCCAAACAGGTGCACCTTGCCTGTTGTTATTTTCATTAATTTTGTTCCTGTTATCCGGTTGATACTTGGAGGCCGGAGCTTAAGGTAGGAAGATTATTAACACATTATTATTGTCTGCCATAGACAAAAAGATAGGCTGATAATAATTAAGAGCGAAGTTAGGAAGTAAATACAATTCCGCTGTTTCTTTTGGTTGCGACTAGCACTAAACTTTCTCATTCAATACCCTACATCACCGATTCGATACTTTCCCGGTTATCCCTGGGCCGGCCGCAGAGGCTGCTAGTCAGCATGGCCATGGCAGGCGTAGGAAGTCAGAGAGGTTCGTCGTCGTCGTCGAGGATGCTCCTGCCGCGGAACATCAGCCTCTCTACCGGGCATCTCCCGGAAGCACTGGGCGGAGTCCCTCCGCCGCTCCGGCCAAACGTCATCAACCCTTACGGCCGCCCCTACAGGTGCGCGCGGCTCGATCGCCTTGGCATGTCCACGTGCTATACGAGGTTGAACGACGGAGTTGATCTCGATCGCAGGTACTGGCAGATGTTCCTGATCGTGCTGGTGGCCTACTCTGCGTGGGCGTCGCCGTTCGAGCTGGCCCTGGAGAAGGCCGCCTCCCGGGCGCACCTCGTCGTGGACCTGGTCGTCGACGTCTTCTTCTGCGCCGACATCGTCGTCTCCTTCTTCGTCGCGTACCGCGACAGGTCCACCGACCTCCTCGTCGACGACCGTAGCAAGATCGCCGCGAGGTACTAACTCGTACTCATCGCTGCGAATTAATTTGTTTCCTTTAGGACTCTTGGCGATATCTATGCGTAATAACACCATGCGTATTTTGCGCGGATTGGAATTATAGGTACCTGACGCGGCCGTGGTTCGTGCTGGATGTGGCCTCCACAATCCCGTTGCAGATGGAAAAAAATTCTATGAGACCAGGTCTCACGGATTAGCAGGTGAGACCCATCCTGATGGATGACACGTGACATCCACAAATCACAAAGCATCCACTTCACCTCCACCTGAAATCAGGGGGGGAAGAGATTAGATGCTTTGTGATTTGTGAATGGTCTACCAGCTCGTGAGGGGCAAGAAAAACGGACCTTGCGGGTTCCTCATCCTTCTCCGGCTCTGGCGGCTGCGTCGCGCCAGTAAGCTCTTTGCAAGGTACTCTACGTACGAGCATACTACTCCATTATATATACACATACAATGTACTTTGTCCTAGTACGATATCTTATTTCACTAACCGATCCCCTAAAAGATGTTATTAGACAAATAAAATATGGTTTTACTCCAATAAACCGCACCTAACTGATCTCCTAAAACTGTTAGAGAAGGATAATGTTTACTTTGTGGCCACCCCAACCCTTAAATATACTCATATGATAAGTGTCACACGTCAGATGCGTGGCACTTCAGCCTTGACATTTTTCGATGGCAGTTCCAGTCAGGCAAGGATGGCAATTTTTAGTGACACACAACAAGGTTCTGTCAAAAATAAATTGAAGCGCTAAACTTGCCATGCTTTTGACAACTAAAGTTACCATCCTCACGTCACTAAACTTCCCGTCGAAAACGTTCGAAGTTGTCATCTGCTCGTACCTAATGTCCGATACATATCAGTGTCCTAAGTATACTAGGTTGGCCACCGCTGGAGTAAAAATCTCCCTCCTCCCACCGCTCGACCTTATGCACTCTACCGCCACCGCTGTTGCCATACTACCCAAAATGGCCGGATCCAGCCACCGCCGCTCCCCGCCACCGATTAGAAGCGCTGCTCCACGCTCCAGAGCCCGTGCTCGCCGCGCTCTGTCCTCCTCCTTCGGCGGCGCTTCCTGGTTCCCCGACATGCGGTCATCGCCGGGGCCACAGAGTAGGTACCTCACCGTGTGGCAGCGGGCATGGGGGAAGTGGGTGGCGGAGATCACCGACCAGAATACCCACCAGCGGATTTGGGTCGGTTCTTACTAATCAGCGGCGCGAGCGTACGACATCATGTCGGTGCGCCTCCACGGTGCAAACCCCCGACTAAACTTCCCCGACATCGCGCCGACGAGGAATGCATGGCGGAGCTCCGCCGCCTGTACCCAGAGCATGTCGAAGAAGAGCGCCGGCAATACAAGTTCTATACCGAAAAAGGCTTTCGCCTCGTTTTATAGATAAAGCAAACCGTCCAAGCCAAACATCCAACAAGGTTCATACACACACACACAAATTCCATAAACACACACAAAGTAGCATAAGGGGTTAATGCTGAGGGCACAGCTCAACAAGTACTGAAATCCAAAACACAAACACAAGCACATCAGCCCGAATCGAGTTCCACAAACCATACAAGTTCTAAAGGCCGGGGGTGACGACGGTCGTCGACCTTTGCTTGCTCTGGGTGGCTGAATCGAGTTCCAATCAGGTACGATGGATTAGTTTGATCAAATTTGCACCAAATTTATGTTTATTTTTTGAACGAGTTAAGTTTAGGGGTTCAGTTAGAAGCTGCATTTTTTAGAGGAACAAATATACACCACTAAAAGACAGACAGTCATATACTCACTAGACTAGAAGAACACCCGTGCGTTGCAACGGGGCCACATTAACTTTAAAAGTTCAATATTAATATTCTCATATATATCAAGTGACATTGGCGACCTTTTTTATCATCAATTCCTCACACACACTCTCTGCCTCCCTCTTCCTCACTCTCTCCCCCTCTCCCTCTCTCTCTCTCTCTAACACACACATATCCATCTTATTGGGTACGGGAGCATAATCCATCTATTTCACACACACAAGCTAGTACATAACAATATGGATTATGTGTATTATATTTGCCACCACAACTGAGGGAATTAATTTCATGTAAATCGGCCAGCCACAGCTCCAAGAATACGCGGAGGAGGTGGCCCGGGTCGGTGTCGGCGCCGTCCGGCACGGGCCACGGGCCCGCTTCCAAGCGCGTCTGCGCGTCGGCCACCCACGCCGTGTCCTTCAAGTGCCACTTCCACCGCACCAACTCACAGGGTCACGGCCATGGCCAGGGCCAGGGAAGCCGCCCTTCTTTGCCCCCTTCACCGGCCGCGGCCAACGCGGTGCCGCGGCACCCGGCCTCGCCGTCCTCGTCCTCCAGCACCGTCGCGACCCAGTGACGCAGCCCAAGCATCGGCCTCGAGAATCAAGAACGCTCGACAACGTAGAGGGAAGGAAAGATCATATACATGTCATAAGAAAGGGAGTTTATTTACTGCTCCCTCGATGTATTGTTTCCTTTGTTTGGAGATTGATTACCATCCGTGAGTTAAGGTAAGGTTTACGTGATTGAGCGATTTTTTGAAAATCAATTATTTGTTTTCTAATTAATGTAACTGAGTGATTTAAGGTAAGGTTAATTAATTTAGATTTGATCTTTAGAGATTGTTCGTGATTGATTCTACATTACTAAATAACTTGCGCCAGTATGAAAAGTTCTGATCTGTTTAGATTTCTTTCGTTGTGTGAGAGGGTGACGCGAAAATAAACCGATGAAGTGAGGGGAGGGAATGAAAAAAATCTACGAAAAAAAACCAGCGAAGGTGGGAGGAGGTACCAAAAAAAAACCATGGAAGGTGGGAGGAGACTACCAACTGTTTCATTAGGAGTAGAAATTATTAGAGATTAGAGATTATTTGTTTCCTAAAAATCTATTATTTGTTTCCTAAAGCAAATTGCATTAATGAGAGAGATTTCGTAGATTTGGTTAAGGTAGGAAAGAATCTATTATTTGTTTGCTAAAGCAAATTGCATTAATGGGAGGGATCCGTTGATTTGGCTAAGGTAGGAAAGAATCTATTATTTGTTTGCTAAAGCAAATTGCATTAATAGAAAAGATCCGTTGATTTGGCTAAGGTAGGAAAGAATCCATTATTTGTTTCCTAAAGAAAATTGCATTAATGAGAGAGATTTGTTGATTTGGCTAAGGTATGCGGTTTTTGCGGTTCGTGGCGGCTTAGTGTGAGGTGGGACGAGGTACCAAAAAAAACCATGGGAGGTGGAACGAAAAAAACCTGGGAGGTGGGAGTTGTCCCTGGTTAACCTACGAAATTTCGTAGATTTTTTTAGGACGAAAAAAAACCATGGAAGGTGGGACTAAAAAAAACCTGGAAGCGAGACTACCAACTGCTCCCTTAGGAATAGAGATTTTTCTTATGTGTAGGAAGAAAAATAGAGCAATGTTGGATACACCATTGATAGGTAATTGAATTGCAGGTAGAAAGTATACCAATAATTTTACATATACATTTTGACCGAAGAAAATTATGCTTCCAAAAGGGTGGAAATTTGTTTCCAACAACAATCACTTGTACTTCCAATGTGAACAAAATCTGAATCACGTGTGGCTACTATACATATGGTATCCTTCAACCCGGCCAAATGCAAGACCGCTGGAGCACAGCCGACGTAGCACGCATAAGAGCATCGCTACCACGCAGCCACATTGAAAAGGGACCTCATGAGTCTATAGCATGCAGCCCCAATTACAGGCTTCAACGAGCAGAGCACGACCATACCACTTCAAGCAGCAACTACAAAATGTCTGACGAGGAGTAGCAGAGGAAACGAAGGTCTGCACACCGGCGAAATTACAGTGCCACACCGGCCAGATTGGGGATGCAGCGCGACGAACGGATCACAAGGAGCGTTGTGGGGGCATGAAGCACACATGCACATGCTTAGCCATCAAGGCGACATGGTGTGTGCGTTCTTGCCGGAGGACTTGCTGGTCGAACGTAGATGCGGTGGTGCGATAAGAGCGAGGTTGAAGCGAGGAGGATCCAGATGGCAGGTGTGGCAGAGAGGGTGGCGAGGTAGTTGATTAGGGTTTGATGGTGGATGTGAGGATGATTCGGAGGGGTTATATAGTACAGCCAGGCGTTGTTGGATGCATGGCTCCAAAACGATTGGTGAGATGCTGGTCTGACGAAAGCCATGTATTAGACGTCTCACAGGAATAGTTTTCCTTTATATTTATAGCCTTACCATACCTGGATTGATTTATTGCCATATAATTACCATATTCGAAATTTTCTGAGTTATGACCTTACCATACCTGGATGGATTTATTACTATAATAATCATATTTGAGATTTCTGAGTTTATAGCCTTACCATACGTGGATTAATTGTGATTGATTACCATAAATACATTGGGTGTTGCCGGTTAGACGAGAAAAGAGGAAAACCGGTGAGAGGGTGGTGGTGGGAGGTGGGACGAAGAAAAATCAGACGAAAAAAAGCCAGACGAAAATAAATCGTGGAGACTATTCACCAACTCAGATTTCCTTCTCTTTCGCTGAACTCGGGAAATCCTTCCTGCATGTGACGCACGGCCTTAACTGCCCTGCAATCTCCACGATTATCTTCCCTACATACACGTGATTGTTTCTTTCTCATTTGTTAACAGATTGGCTAGCACCATTATATATCGGGAGCAAGAAAATCGTCCGAGATATCGCTCCGTTTTATTGAATTGATTGTGTCTGGTTACCTTAAGTTAATTGATTGCGTTTGGAAAGAATTGATTGTCATGCATGATTGCGTTTGGAAAGAATTGATTGTCATGCATGAATCGGGGACGTAAGGGGGGAAACGGAACCTGACTGCGTGCGGTGAATGGGGTGGGGTAGGGGTGGGGATGGTGTGATGAAAAAAACCGGTTGAAAAAAAACCATGGTAGGTGGGACGAAAAAAAACCATGATAGGTGGGACGAAAAAAAACCTGGAAGCGAGACTACCAACTACTCCATTAGGAATAGAGATTAGAAGGGGTCGGTTAGAGATACTCTAACACCAATATACAAAAATCCCCGCCCTATAAGAGTAGCATGTCTGTCGACATAGAACGAAACAAGTAACACCTGTTCGGAGGCCTGAATCCATCTGGGGTGGAACAAAATGTCAGATCTCGAGTCACTTCAGTCAAGTCCTTTTGCAACAGGGCCATTTAGGATTTTGTGTCTGGCTAATAATGTGTACGAGTGTGCTCAATAATGCATCCATAAACGATTTAAGATACGTTTTATAGAGTTGGGCGGCGTGGCATTCTTTCTTTGGCCTTATCTTGTCGGCTGTACAGTGTAGTCGCGCTTCAAGCGACCTTGATCTGAGACTGAGACTGCCCATGTTTCATTGATCTGAGTATTTCATTAATTGTTGATATAGAGCATGGTGATGAACAGAGGCTAGCATATGTGTTGGTCCCTCCGTTTCTAAATATAAGACTTTTAGAGATTTCAATGCGGGCTACATACGGATATATATAGACGTATTTTAGAATGTAGATTCATTCATTTTACTTTGTATGTAGTTCGCATTGAAATCTCTAAAAAGGCTTATATTTAGGAACGGATGGAGTACATGTTTACTCATGATTAATAACAAGGTAAAATCGCACACATTTATTTGTATGAACATTGCAGGTTGGAGAAAGACACCAGGCTGAGCTACTTCTGGACTAGGTTTATCAAGCTATTCTGCGTAAGAACAATACTTGAACACGAAATTCGTCAGCAAACCCGAATTACTAGTTGGCTCATGCGTAACAGAAGTTGGTGATGCAGGTGGCTCTGTTTGCGCTGCACTGCGCGTCGTGCGGGTACCTGTGGCTCGCGTTCCACTACCGGGACAAGGAGCAGACCTGGATCGGCAGCCTCCGGGGCGACTTCAAGGAGCGCAGCGTGTGGTTCGCCTACACGTACGCAGTGTACTGGTCCATGACCACCATGGCCACGGTCGGCTACGGCGACCTGCACGCCGCCAACACCGGCGAGAAGCTCTTCAGCATCCTCTTCATGCTCTGCAACATGGGCATCGCCTGCTACGTCATCGGCAACATGACCAACCTCGTCGTCCACGGTGCCACCACCACATTCCGCATGGTACCTTCCTCACCAGCAAACAGACGCATAGTAAAAGCATCAAACGCAGCTGCAGTTGCAGTTGATGCATATGATGCACCATTAATAACTGGACCTGCAAAGGGACATGGTGGACCAGGTGGCGAGGTACGGGAAGGCGAACCGGCTGCCGGTGTGGATGCGGGAGCATATGGTGGAGAGCTTGCAGCTGAGGTTCCAGATGGCGGAGCTGCTGATGCCCGACGAGGTGCTTTCGGAGCTGCCCAAGGCCGCGCGGTCGGCCGTCGCGCAGCACCTCTACAAGGCCGCGGTCGAGGACTGCTACCTCTTCCGGGGGGTCTCGGACAACCTCGTCGTGCAGCTCGTCTCCGAGATGAAGGCGGAGTTCTTTCCGCCCAAGATGGACATTGTCTTGGAGAACGAGATCCCGACGGACTGCTACATCATCGCGTCCGGCCAAGTGGTAAATTCACTGCACATATTTCACGTCCTGTTTTCTTCCATTAAGTACGTATATTCCCTGACTGACATTATTGTGTATCATTTCAGGATGTGTTGAGAACTGCTAAGGACGATGGCCTGGAGAAGGTAAGCCCGGCCTGAAATTTGCCGGAACCCGCTGAAAAATAAGGTTTTACTCTTCTTTTAACTGAAAAAAATGGACAACGACTATATAACCTGCGATTACTCTGGCTGTGTTTCAGTTTGTCATGCGGGTAGGGCCACATGGCATGGCGGGTGATATCGGCGTGATGTTCAACATCCCGCAGCCATTCACCATCCGGAGCAGAACCCTAACCCAGGTTATACGCATAAGCCGTAGCCACTTGCAGAACACCGTCCGGCCTGCTACTGCAGACGGGGACACTATATTCTCCAATTTTGCTCAGGTACTATATGCACATATGCTGCATTATTCAGGTGTTGTCCAGAAGCAAAAATATCCTGATGATTTAGTGTAAAAAATTGTTTTACTAGATTGTCTGAAGTCCGAACTTGGCATTGATTTTACCTTTCTCTCCAGTATCTTGAATCTCTGAAGGTGCGACATGGAGAGGAGCTAACATTTGCCAGAGATGTCGGGCACGACACACTCCCGTTTCAGAACGGCGACCCGGTACGTGTTGCCAGAGATGGTGGCATGGCGGGCAACCGCGCGGCAGGGAAGCTCGTATGTCTGCCCGGTTCACTCGAAGAACTGATGAAGCTTGGCGAAGACAAGTTTGGAATGGCGGCGAGACATGTACTCACCGCCGACGGCGCGGAGGTGGATGACGTTCGCGCGCTGAGAGACGGCGATCACCTCTTCTTAAGTTGACAGGGAACTGTACTCTAAGTCTAACTGTACTCTAAGTCTAACTACGTGCAAGCTCGACTGATTTTTATTTATTAATCAGTCGACCGACAGTCGATTTATCTTTGGGCTGTAGCGTTAACTGCTGACGAGGATGAGGACAGACAACGCGCGCCTGATAGCTGGCCCCTTCCTGCATGATTCGACATGCACACATTTGGTCTAAATCACAAGTTAAGTTAAGGGTTAGGGTTTGTCTAGGCCTCATCCAGGAACGATCGCTTACAATCATCCTGATAATGGTCAGGCCCAGGTCCTTCTGTTTTTCTTTCTCTTCTATAGAGATTATTTTTCTGGGTTTCTGAGTTTTTAAAAACAATTCTGTTTTCTGTACTAGAATTTGTTTTTCTAAAATATTGTGCACAAATTTCAAACACACCGAACATTTTTTTTAATATATGGTGAACATTTTCCAAAGCACACAGAACATTTTTTTAATATACGAATGAACATTTTTTCTCATGAAGTGTTTTTTAATAAATATATGTTTTACTTTTTTATAGTGTAGGGTGAACTATTTTTCATGTATGATTACCATTTCTTTTATACAAATTGAACTTTTCTAGTGGTGAATTATTTTAATTATACGATGAACATTTCTTTTATCCAAACTGATTTTTTTGGTAACCTTTTTAACATACAATGAACATTTTTTTGTGCATATGAACTTATTTAAATGTAGGTGAACTTTTTGGCTGGTTTTATTTTAATACAAAAATTGAAAAAAAAAAGTTTGCAAAGTAAGAATGAAAAGTGAAAAATAAAAGGTAGAAAAATATATAAATGAAAAGCAGGAAAAGGAAATATACATAAAAATAACAAAAAGGAAAAAGGGGAAATGATGAAAGATTAAAAAAACCGCTCAAAACTAGAAGAACCCGGCTAAAAGAAAAAATAACAAAGAACAACAGCCTGGAAGGTTCCTGAAACCGGCGGAGCTCGTAGGAACCTTCTGAAAACTACTTGCTCACGAAACGATGCTCCTTCCTGAATGGTTCGGCCCACTTTGGATCGCTATTTAGCAAGAAGTACCTTACTCCTCGCTATATGGTACTCTATATAGCATTTGGGTAGCCTAAGGGCCAGTTCTTTTGAGCCATGGCTTGTGCATAAGCTGCAGTTAAATTAAGCCCGTGAGAAGCTGCAGTGAGAATAAGCTCCCTTGGAATAAGCCATCCAATTCTTTTCCTATTTCATTTGTCTAGCTTATTTTCTGATAAACTAATGAAAAGTCCATGATATCCCTCATGGCATCGTTCTGTGCTTGGATTATTATTTTGGCCGCATGGGACAGGGGCCTCTTGTTCTGTTGGCTGAGCGGTGGCAGTTTTTTCGTAAATATAAGCAACGAAAAGGGCAAGAAGAAATACCGCTTCACTTTTTAAAGGGCTGCGCTCGGGAAGCTGCCCATCGTTGGCTTATCTCAAACGTGAAGGAAGGGGCTGCCGCTGGAAATTAAGCTAATGACAGCTAAACGAGTTCTTTTGGGCTTGAGCTTAATTTTCGCCATAAGCCTCTCATAAGCTTGAAAAAGAACTGAGCCTAAGTACAACCTCTGCAACGCTAACCTGTTGGGCATGGGCATTTTTAGTTATTGTTGGTACTCGACGATTTTAGTTGTTGCTGCACGAGATAAAAAAACGGAAAAAACACAGACAAGCCTACAACGGGTCAGATCCTGGCTTCTAGAGAGAGAAAAAAAAGCTTGTAAAAACAAGCATCATTTAAGCCTACACATGAGAGTTCCTTGCTTGTCAAAGCAAAATCTTAAAAAATCGAGCCTAGAGTTTTAGCCTTCCTACCCCTTGTTTCTGGGTGTTATTTGTCACGAAAAAACAAAACATTGGTGTAATTAGCATACAAAAAAAATATGTATATAAGGGATGTCAAAAATGAAAACAGAGAGACAACAAATCATGTCAACTAGTCCCTCTGTCTCATAATATAAGAGTGTTTTGACACTGCACTAGTGTCAAAAACGCTCTTATATTATGGGACGGAGGGAGTACTTGTTGTGTGATTCAGTCTGTAAGTGAGATACCCAGGTTTTTGTCTCTATCATGATTGTAAAATAATTTACTTTGAGTTCATCTTTTTGCCCCTCCTCCCCTCCCCCCTAACTCAGTTGCATGTCGAGGGTGGACTTACAACTGGATCAGAGTTCGGGAGGGGGGGAGGGGGCAAGTTGCATGTCCAGAGTGGACTTGTAACTGAGTCAGGGTTCGGGAGACAACTTGCATGTCGAGGGTGGACATGCAACTGGATCAGGGTTCGAGGGACGCAACTTGCATGTCGAGGGTGGACATGCAATTGGGTCGGGGGAAATTTGCATGTTGAGAGTTGATTTGCAACTGGGTCGGGGGGTCAGTGCACAATTTGCATGTTGATAGTGGACTTGCAACTCGGTAATGGTTCACGGGGAGGGGAAAGTTCCATGTTGATGGTGGACTTACAACGTGGTCAGGGTTCAAGGGATAAATTGCATGTCGAGGGTGGACATGCAGTGGGCCAGGGGGTTAATTGGAAAGTTGCATGTCAAGGGTGGACATGCAACTGGGTCCAAGTTTTGGGGCAAGTTGCATGTCGAGAGTGGCAATGCAATTTGGTCAGGGGGGTCAACGGGAAAGTTGCGTGTCAAGGGTGGACTTACAACTGGTTCAGAGGCAAGTTGTGTGTTGAGGGTGGACATGCAACTCGGTCGAGATTCAGTAGGCGAGTTGCATGTCAAGGGTAGACATGTAACTCGGTTGGGACAGGATCAGCTGTGTGTCGAGAGTGGACATCCAAGTAGGTCACACGAGTCGTATGTTGATAGTGGACATGCAACTAAGTCGGAAGGGCGAGTTGCATGTCGAGGGTGGACTTGCAACTGAGTCAGGGTTCGGGAGACAACTTGCATGTCGAGGGTGGACATGCAACTGGATCAGGGTTCGAGGGAGGCAACTTGCATGTCGAGGGTGGACATGCAACTGGGTCGAGGGAGGTCAATGGGAAATTTGCATGTTGAGAGTTGACTTGCAACTGGGTCGGGGGTCAGTGCACAGTTTGCATGTCGATAGTGGACTTGCAACTCGGTAATGGTTCGCGGGGAGGGGCAAGTTCCATGTTGATGGTGGACTTACAACGTGGTCAGGGTTCAAGGGATAAATTGCATGTCGAGGGTGGACATGCAAGTGGGTCAGGGGGTTAACTGGAAAGTTGCATGCCAAGGGTGGACATGCAACTGGGTCCAAGTTTGGGGGCAAGTTGCATGTCGAGAGTGGCAATGCAATTTGGTCAGGGGGGGGTCAACGGGCAAGTTGCGTGTCAAGGGTGGACTTACAACTGGTTCAGAGGCAAGTTGTGTGTCGAGGGTGGACATGCAACTCGGTCGAGATTCAGTAGGCGAGTTGCATGTCAAGGGTAGACATGTAACTCGGTTGGGACAGGATCAGTTGCGTGTTGAGAGTGGACATCCAAGTAGGTCACATGAGTCGTATGTTGATAGTGGACATGCAACTAAGTCGGAAGGGCGAGTTGCATGTCGAGGGTGGACATGCAACTAAGTTGGAAGGGCGAGTAGCGTGTCAAGAGTGGACATACAATTGAGTCAGGGTCGAGTGCCAAGTTGCGTGCCGCGGGTGGACACGTAACTTGCATGCTAACGGTGGACATGTAAACTAGGTCAGGAGGTAAGATGGATGTTGAGGGTTGACATGCAACTAGGTCAACACACATTGTGTGTCGTGGGTGGGCACTCAACTGGGTCGGGGTCAACACAAGTTTAGTGTCGAAGGTGGATATGGAAACTAGGTTTGTTGAGTTGTTATCGACAATGGACATGCAGTCAAGGTCGAGTGGCAAAATTTGTGCTTCTAGGGTGGACATGCAACTGTGTCGGGTTAAGTTTCAGGTCAAGGGTGAACATGCAACTAGGTCGGGACGAGGATGAGGGATGAGCATGCAACTGGGTCGGTTCAGTTTCGGGTCTAGGGTGGACATGCAACTGGGTGGGGCGTGTTTGCGTGTCGAGGGTGAGCATGCGATTGGGTGGAGGTGAGTTGTGAGTCGTGTGTGGAAATGCAAGTAGGTCAAAAACGTGAGTTGGGTGTCCAGAATGGACATGCAACTGGGCCAAGAGGTGAGTTGTGTGTAGAGGATGGACATAAACCTGGGTCAGTTGGCGAGTTGCATGCCAAGAGTGAACATGCAACTGGATCGAAAGGGCGAGTAGCGTGTCCATGATGTACATGTAACTAAGTCGAATGGGCGAGTTGCTTACAACATCTCCCTCAGAGCCAAACTAAATAAATAAATTATTAAATCATGACAACAGAAACGGTGCAGTAAAATGCGCACAACCTTCTAGAAGTACTATGATTCTACATGCGATTGATGGATTAGTCTTGCCTAACCTCAAGCTAGCTGCACTGCTACACCATTACCCGTGATACCCTCACCCCCCTCTCCCCTTCAAGAAGAAAAAGAATAAAACTAAACAACATAATAAAAAAATTGCACACAATATATACAGAAATTACTTTTTTCAATAATATGCAAGAATGAACATATAAAATGGAATTTTGCAAAAAAGATGTTTTCTAAGCATAATTAATTAGCGGAATGGTATTTCCCTTAAAGAATAAAATTAAATAAAATATTGAAAGGGAATCAAAATAATGGACATTTTTTAAGGTAAAATGAATTAGTGGCATTGATATTACCCGGCTCTGGCAAGGGAGGGGTGGTGACGGTGGTGCGCCTTCGGCTCGCAGTGCTTGTACTCGTCACTAGGTGGTCTACGATTTGGATGTAATTTTTATTATTTTTAGTGTTCATTGCATTGCTATGACTGAAAATGAATAGATCGAAAGTTTTCCCACAAAAGAGAGATATTACCCTTTAAGAAGAAAGAATAAACTAAAAGTTCAAAATAATGAAGTTTTCGAAGAAATGAAATAGTGGCATTGTTATTACCACAGAAA